CATACAGCAAAATATTCTGGAGGCGCTCAAATTTTAGTGAAAATCATCAAAATCGCTGGAGGTGGCTGGCAACTTTTTTCAAAAATGCTGGCGGGGAAAGAGTTAAGGGTAAAGAAGCTAAATTAAGAAAATCTGGAGTCCTTTTTGATTATTTATTGAATGTAAGGAACAATATAATAGAGGAGGATCAAAATTCTTGATTAGGTATTAAAATATATTTTAATGTGCATTATATTAACCCCTTACAGCTGTGGTTGTTATTGTTTTGCAATGGATTATTAAATCTAACTTCCAAAGTACATACCGTATTAATCTAATGTTGGTTTGTACTATCACACTTTTCATGTAAAATGAGCCCCTAGTGTTTGTTTGTTTCATTTTCTTTTTTGTACATTGTAAGTGTTGTTACAGACACGGTATGTACATGTGTCAGTCTGGTAAGTGTTTCAAGAAAATGTAAAGCCTCACCTGTAGAAAGGCAGATGTCAGTCAGCGAATGCTGTGTGTTTGTGTCTCAGTGTCTCTTCAGGACATCACCATGAGGAAGGCCTTCCGCAGCTCCACCATCCAGGACCAGCAGCTGTTTGAGCGTCAGTCTCTTCCCATCCCCATGCAGGAGACATACGAGCTGTGCGAACAACCTCCGCCGCTGAACATCCTCACACCCTACAGGTCAGAACCACATTCACACATCAGACCCGACAGATCATCACACCGGAGACGTTTACATCTGACCTCAGTATTACTAAAATGTAACCCTGGACCACAAAACCAGTCATAAGGGTCCGTTTTTCCGAAATTGAGATTTATGCATCATCTGAAAGCTGAATAAATAATCTTTCCATTGATGGTTTGTTAGGATAGGACATACAACTATTTGAAAATCTGGAATCTGAGGGTGCAAAAAAATCTAAATATTGAGAAAATCATCTTTAAAGTTGTCCAAATGAAGTTCTTAGCAATGCATATTACTAATCAAAAATTAAGTTTTGATATATTTACAGTAGGAAACTTACAAAATATCTTCATGGAACATGATCTTTACTTAATAGCCAAATTATTTTTGGCATAATTTTGACCTATACAATGTAAACAAAGAGTGAAAAATTTAAGGGGGTCTGAATACTTTCCGTACCCACTGTACATATTCCCATACATATGTGCAACATTTAGTGCAAAATGAAAATTCAATTATATAATTTAGATTTGCCATTTCCTACTTTTTAATATGTAAATTAAAAACATATTTTAACATGACCTATTGTCCAATTCACACTGCATTTTGCTACAATTATCACGCGGTATCACAATGACAATGCAATCCCAAGTGTCCTACCTTTAAGTCTAAATGCATTTAGGAAAAATGGCATTTAAATTATAATTTTGCTACAGTTTTTGCTTGGACATTTTAAACATCTAATCAATTTGTGTAATACAATTTCTTTTTAATTTTGCAACTTATAAAGCATTAAAATATGTTTTTAATTTACATATTAAAACTAGTGTAGAAAATTGTAAATGTAAATTATATAATTGAATTTTCATTTTCATTTTGCGCTAAATGTTGCACATACGTATGGGAAAATGTCAATTTAAATAAAGAAATGCATTGTCATTTTGCATATTACATTTCAAAATGAATTTTGCTACCCATATGCTTCCATACATTTAACTCTTCATGTAACTGTTTAAATAACAATTGCATTTTATTCAAGTCAAAAATATTATTTAACATCAATGAATCAACCTGAATGCATGAATTTAGACCAACATACCAAGATAATAATTTGTCAAGATACCAAAGTATGCAATGAAAAAAGTCAGCAAAAAAAATGCATTTTTGTCTTCTTTTCCAGTATAAATATCTAAATATTCTTGAATCAAGATACATCTACTGAAGAAGCAAACTGCATAAAATATTACATGATATTTTCTGAAAAATGTATCAAAATTAAGTGAGTTTTTTAAACTTAGAAATAGACAAAAAAAATCTATCAGTGGGGTCAGAAAAATAATCTTTTTACTCCACTGATGGATTTTTTTAAAATTCTTTTTTAAGCAAAACTCATTTAATTTTGATATGATTTTCAGAAAACAAGATGTAATATAATTTTGTCATTTTGCACCTCCAGTAAATTAAATGGATATCGAATATCTCTCAGATGTTTCTTGCAGGTGTTTCTTATACACTGAAATAAATTGCAACTTAAACATCTAAATTAACTAGTTTTATTCAAGTCAAAAATATTATTTAACATCACTGAATCAGCCTAAATGCTAATACAAATTTAGTTTTCACTCAATTTTTGTCCTGTTTTGCAGTTTTAAATTTTTAAATCAAAATACATTAACTTGAAATGCAAAATGACATATATCTTGTTTCTGAATAATTTATGAAAAAAAATTAAGTGAGTTTTTGCTTGAAAAAAGGCAAAATATCTGTCAATAATCGTGTTTTCCCTTGGAATTAAGTTTATTTTTCTGACCCCATTTTCTTCGTGTTTAAAGCATACACTTAATTCTGATGCATTTTTCAGAAAACAAGACTTAATATTGTTTGTCATTTTGCTACAATGACAATGCAATCCCAAGTGTCCTACCTTTAAGTCTAAATGCATTTAGGAAAAATGGCATTTAAATTATAATTTTGCTACAGTTTTTGCTTGGACATTTTAAACATCTAATCAATTTGTGTAATACAATTTCTTTTTAATTTTGCAACTTATAAAGCATTAAAATATGTTTTTAATTTACATATTAAAACTAGTGTAGAAAATTGTAAATGTAAATTATATAATTGAATTTTCATTTTCATTTTGCGCTAAATGTTGCACATACGTATGGGAAAATGTCAATTTAAATAAAGAAATGCATTGTCATTTTGCATATTACATTTCAAAATGAATTTTGCTACCCATATGCTTCCATACATTTAACTCTTCATGTAACTGTTTAAATAACAATTGCATTTTATTCAAGTCAAAAATATTATTTAACATCAATGAATCAACCTGAATGCATGAATTTAGACCAACATACCAAGATAATAATTTGTCAAGATACCAAAGTATGCAATGAAAAAAGTCAGCAAAAAAAATGCATTTTTGTCTTCTTTTCCAGTATAAATATCTAAATATTCTTGAATCAAGATACATCTACTGAAGAAGCAAACTGCATAAAATATTACATGATATTTTCTGAAAAATGTATCAAAATTAAGTGAGTTTTTTAAACTTAGAAATAGACAAAAAAAATCTATCAGTGGGGTCAGAAAAATAATCTTTTTACTCCACTGATGGATTTTTTTAAAATTCTTTTTTAAGCAAAACTCATTTAATTTTGATATGATTTTCAGAAAACAAGATGTAATATAATTTTGTCATTTTGCACCTCCAGTAAATTAAATGGATATCGAATATCTCTCAGATGTTTCTTGCAGGTGTTTCTTATACACTGAAATAAATTGCAACTTAAACATCTAAATTAACTAGTTTTATTCAAGTCAAAAATATTATTTAACATCACTGAATCAGCCTAAATGCTAATACAAATTTAGTTTTCACTCAATTTTTGTCCTGTTTTGCAGTTTTAAATTTTTAAATCAAAATACATTAACTTGAAATGCAAAATGACATATATCTTGTTTCTGAATAATTTATGAAAAAAAATTAAGTGAGTTTTTGCTTGAAAAAAGGCAAAATATCTGTCAATAATCGTGTTTTCCCTTGGAATTAAGTTTATTTTTCTGACCCCATTTTCTTCGTGTTTAAAGCATACACTTAATTCTGATGCATTTTTCAGAAAACAAGACTTAATATTGTTTGTCATTTTGCTTCTCAAGTAAATGTATCTTGATTTAAGAATGTTTGGATATTTGTACCGGAAAACCAGACAAAAATACTCCGCAATAAAATGTTGTTGTTTTTTTCAGTGAACTCAAACATTTTTCAACTCTGATGATCTGAGCTCATATTTTTGCTCTGTATTTTTAGTGTTAGTGACTCATTGGTGTGTGTTTTTATTTCTCCTGAGGACTTTTAGTTGATACTTCATGAACTATGCAATGATAGAGCGATATTGTCTCCGTCTGTGCTCTCGTTTATGCAGTTTTCATGTGTTTCTGCTGCTGTTTTCACACCGAGCGAGTGTTTCTGGAATTAATGCTCGTTACTGGAGGCTGGAACATTTATTTTGAGAGCGTGAGCATTTATGCATGAGCTCTCTCTCTCTTCACACGTTCCCTCATTACTTCATGAAGACGCCGGCACCAGAGGTTATTTTATTAGACATCAGGACAGATGTTTCCTGTCCTCCTGTAAAACCATTGTCTTCCACTCCTGCTAAAAATGGTACAAAAGACATGTTAAATCGCTCATTTTCCTCAACAGTAGTTTTGTGCAATCCTCAGAAGAAGTCTCTTCTGCGCATCAAAGCTGCATTTATTTGATCAAAAATACAGTAAAAATTGTGAAATATTATTTAAATGTAAAACAGCTGTTTTTTATGTGAATATCTGTTAAACTGTAATTTATTTCTGTGATGCGCAGCTGTATTTTCAGCATCATTACTCCAGTCTTCAGTGTCACATGATCTTCAGAAATCACTCTAATATGCTGATTTGCTGCTCAAGAAACATTTCTGATTATTATCAATGTTGAACACAGTTGTGCTGCACAATATTTTTGTGGAAACTGTGATACATTTGATTTTTCAGGATTCACAGATGAATAGAATGTTCAAAAGTTCAAAAGAACAGCATTTGTAACATTAAAACTGTCACTTTTGATTAGTTTAATGCATCCTTGATTAACTGTAAGTTATTGACTGCTAGACTGTAAAACAACCGCGGCAGCTCAAATTCACACGTTTTTCTTCATCTGTGCGATGAAACTGTGAATGTGTCATTTCCAGCATTGATTGGCCTGTCAGGAGAGTCTGGAGCTGATAATTGCTTCATTCGTTCTGTATTGTTCTTCTGTCCTTGCTCTATACTGTATTTGGCATTTTGACCAGCAAGCTTAAATGAAAGGAGAAAACGAGTGTGTGATGTGATGATACGTGTGCTAAAGGAGAAGATCTTGAGAGAGACGTGCGAGGAGCAGAGGAGGTGTGATATCAGTGCTCAGCTCAGCCTCTAAATCCACACGTCAAATGAGCGTCTATGATTAATGACGGCTTGGAATACATCTACTGCTAACTAGGGCTGTGCAATGTAGCTGAAAAACAATATATGAATTAATATTTAAAATTGTTATGATCTCTTATTTTTCAGCCTTTTGGCAATATTCAAAATATATCCCAGTCAGAAAAAAACTACATTCTTTTAACCCTTTAAAAAAAAAAAAGAATATTTGCTTTGAAAAGTTTTTTTTTTTATTATTAGAAAATAATTTAAACAAAACCAACACTGACACCAAAAAATTTTAAAAAGTAAAAAAAAAAGTAAAATAAAGGGGAAAAATACAACTATGTTGCATGTTTAATTCAGTGTCATCCAGTTATCATCCTGAATGATAATATTATTTATATTTTTTTATATTATTTATAAATATTATATATATATAAAATTTTTTTTTTTTTTCAGTAAAATTTTGTACAAAATGATGTTTTGACAGTCCAATTATCATCATAATTTTATATATTTTATATTATATTTTTATGATGATAATTGGACTGTCAAAACATCATTTTGTACAAAATTTTACTGAAAAAAATTTTTTTTTCAGTAAAATTTTGTACAAAATGATGTTTTGACAGTCCAATTATCATCATAAAAATATAATATAAAATATATAAAAACATATGTATATTATTATATAAGATACAAATAATATTATCAAATATATGAAATATTGTGTAATTATTTTTAGTTCAATAAAATTTTGTATAAAATGACACATTTTGTCAAATAAAAAAATATTTTTATCTAAAATATATTAAAAAAATACTGTATGTATATTATTATTCACAATACAAATAATATAACATCTATTAAATAGTATGTAATTATTTTTTATTTCAATTAAATTTCGTAAAAAATGACACATTTTACAGTCAAATGATCATCATGAAAAATATTATAATATAAAATAAATGTATATTATTATTTAAAATACAAATAATAATATACAATATATAAAATATTATGTAATTATTTATTATTTATTTATTTCAATAAAATTTTGTATAAAATGACATGCATTTTGACAGTCCAATTATCATCATGAAATATACATGTATATTATTATATAAAATATTAATAATATTAAAGCACATTATGTCATTATTTTTATTTCAATTAAATTTAGTATAAAAATCGCATGCATTTTGACAGTCCAATCAACTAAGTCAAAGAGGAGATATTTAAAATGATCTGATATTACAAGCCAAGTGCATTGCATTATGGGATTCAGCACTCCATTGCTGTTCTCTGTGCCGCACATTTCTGCGAATGTAGTATTCATGCATGCAGATAACTCTGTGTACACTACACATACTGCATACTACTCTCATTGACGAACGGTGTGTAGTACGGCATCACTGAACACACCTGATCTGCGTCTGTCTCTAGGGATGATGGGAAGGAAGGGCTGAAGTTCTACACCAACCCGTCGTACTTCTTCGATCTGTGGAGAGAGAAGATGCTGCAGGACACAGAAGACAAGAGGAAAGAGAGGCGGAAACAGAAGGTGAGAGGGGTGGGGCTACACAACAGATGGGTGTGGCTTATATGCAAATGAGGCCGGAATGGGTGTGGCATCCGAGGGGGTCAAGCACTAAAATCTCATACTTATAACATACATAATAGCATACTTTATGGTTACGTTCAGTCATTTTTCACTCCGTTTTGGCTGCTCTGTCGTTTGCTGTCATTGTGTGTGAGTTTGAATGAGCTGTTTCTCTTGACATGAGGTGTTTTCTGACTGTGTTTAGATTACAGACCAACACACACACACACACAGCGGGCTAATCACAGGCTAATTAGAGGCAGATTGTATTTTAACGCATGATGGCAGATTCTCTCGTCTCTTCTCTGACGTTACTGCGGTAAAACTGCTTGTACATTGTGATATTACAGGTCAATATCTACTTGTATTTAATAAAACCATTTTAAAATATACATAACATCTACATTTCCTTTGCGTTGCTACTTTAACAATTTAAAATATGCAAGTTAGGCACAATCTTATTAAATATTCACATTACAACTGATATAAATCAGTTAAAATGTCAAAATTTTTATTTCTGTGTTAATATGATCAGCAGCTCAGTGGTTGGCAATTATCAGACGCTTTTATTAAAAGGTTGTTTAACAAAATAAAACTCTTTGACTTTGTAAATGCATGATTTTATGTTAAAAGGACTTTCATAAATGCATCTGATAATTACTAGCAATATCACAACAACATGGACATTTAAATCATCAAAATCTTGATGTCAAATGGCAGTCTATGATTATGGATCGGTTGGAATATTAGTTAATTAATAGTCTTATATATTCATTAATATTTTGAAATATTAATTAATACAATTAATCTAAAAAAAAAGTATAACACATTTCGGGAGATTATGAGAAAAATAATCTAGGAAAATTTTGTAAAATATTATGTAATTATTTTAAAATTTGTTTAATTTAATTACAAATATTTAAAATCATTATATAATTATGATATTATATTATGTAATTATAATAAAATATTATAAATAAAGAAAATAAATGTCAACATTTTTCTGCCTTTTGGCTATATACAGTATATACATATATATGATACATGATATGTAATAATAATTTATAATTTACATGATATGTGTATATATATATATACACAGTGGGTACGGAAAGTATTCAGACCCCCTTAAATTTTTCACTCTTTGTTATATTGCAGCCATTTGCTAAAATCATTTAAGTTAATTTTTTTTCCTCATTAATGTACACACAGCACCCCATATTGACAGAAAAACACAGAATTGTTGACATTTTTGCAGATTTATTAAAAAAGAAAAACTGATTAATGAGGAAAAAAAATTAACTTAAATGATTTTAGCAAATGGCTGCAATATAACAAAGAGTGAAAAATTTAAGGGGGTCTGAATACTTTCCGTACCCACTGTATATATATATATATATGTATTTGTTCTGAAATGACATAAAAGTGTGATCTGCAATTAGAAAATCATTTTAAAAAAAACAACACGGACACTGAAAAATGTTTCATGCAAAAAGTAAAATAAAGGGAAAAAATACAACTATGTTGCATGTTTAAGTCAATGAGTGGTATCCAATTATCATCATGAAAAAATATTGTAATTTATTTATTTAAAAAAAAAAAGGAAATTATGAAAAAAATATTATAAAATACATAAAACATGATGTAATTGATATTTATTTCAAAACTATTTTATTTGAAAAATATTACTGGAGAAGATAATTATATATATATGAAATCGTCATGAATATAAACTGTATGTAAAGTATGTAGAATATAAACTCTTTTCCAGAGGCTTTATGAAGCAGAAAGAGTGTTTGCAGTGATTGTGTTCACATACAGACACACAGAATGTGATTAGCTGTGATGTGGAGCACTGAGCTGCTTCCCGTCATTCATTCATATTAAGTGTGTAAATGCAGTGGAAGTGGGATCGGCTGCATTCGATTAGACGCGACTTGATTACATTAGGAGTGATTGATGTGTGGAAAACTGCTCCAGCGGCTCTCAGTCTCTCTCAGACACAACTAACCAAAACTAGTGATGCTCAGTGTTGGGGGTAACTCATTACAAATAACGCAAGTTACGTAATCAGATTACTTTTTTCAAGTAACTAGTAAAGTAACGCATTACTTTTTAATTTAGAAGGAAATATCTGAGTTACTTTTTCAAATAAGTAACACTAGTTACTTTGTTTCCCATGTCTTGACTGACAGCTCTCGTGTTGCCATGTTGAGAAAAATGGGGAGTAAGTGCCGAGGCGTTGTGTGCGCTGTGATAGTTCTAGACTAAATATGAACATTTACTCTTCTCACTGCACAAAAACAGATTCAGTATTCCTCAAAATGAATAAAAACAGTCAAATGCAAACTCAGAATATTATATAAACCTGCAATAATTAAATATGTTAAATAAGACAAATATAATTTATGTATTTAATCCCATTTTATTAACCAATGTCTTTGCTACTGACCTTTGATGATCTAATTCAACCATACTAATAAGCAAAAATAACACATTTGTTTCATTTTTGTTATTGCTGAATAGTGTTGAACTTTCTTCTCCTGCGTCATATTCTTCATGCAATTTGTTTGAGCTGCACCTTCTACTGTACAGGCGTGAATTTACATTTCCTTCAGCCTGAGGCGTATTCATTTCACTTCTGTTGTGAAAAGGGCTTTTACATTTGTAAAATAAGAACTTTTTTATATTAAAAACAAACAAGCAAGCCCTGCCCAGATTTAAAAAGTAACTCAAAAGTAACGTAACGCATTACTTTCCATAAAAAGTAACTAGGTAACATAATTAGTTACTTTTTTAGGGAGTAATGCAACATTGTAATGCATTACTTTTAAAAGTAACTTTCCCCAACACTGGTGACGCTACAAACCCAACATAACTATACATTACAGTAGTGTGACTGTAGATCAGCTGGTTTCAAAACAGAACAGCTGTTTCACTAACAAGCTCATTTGTCTAATGTAAATAACTCGCTGTATTGAGACAATCATTAAACTCAGTCTGATGAGCAGCAAACAGTGATAAAAAATATCTCTCTCTTTTAAAAAAACACTGGTTTCATGCATCGCAGTGAATTGGTTCATTCAGATGATTTGTTTAAAAATAAATCAAATAAAATAAGTACTACAATTACTAAAATTGAAATCAAAATAAATTAAAGCGGAAATAAACAGAAAAAAATTATAAAAATAACAAAAGCACATAACAAGATTACTAAAACTTAAAATAAAATAAAAAAATAAGTGCTACAATTACTAAAACTGAATTAAAAATAAATTAAAGCAGAAATAAACAGAAAAAAAATATAAAAATAACAAAAGCACATAACAAGATTACTAAATCTTAAACTAAATTTAAAATGAAAACTAAAAAATATAAAAAATAAAAGCAAATTTAAAATATGAATAAATACTATAACAGTATATAAATATACTAAAACAGCACTGACTGAGACCCTTAATGTGTTATATACACACTCACACACTATTATAAAATACTAAAAGAATATGTTATTATTTTATCTCAATTGAATTTTGTATAAAAATAAATTAAATTACTGGACACTGGAAAAATGTATACAGTTAAACAGGTTAAAATATGTATGTAAATTTAGTAAATATAAATGTTTTAATCTGATTATATTATATTTTAGTACTTAAATGTATAATTACACTGTAACAAGGACACCTTAAAATAAAGTGTAACCCAAAAAATGTATTCAATGAAAAAAAAAAAATTTCTCTCTTTTTTATATTCTTTATAAAAAAGTTTAAGTTTAAATCTTGCAATTCTACGTTTATATCTCGCAATTCTACAGTTTTTTCTTGAATTTACATTTCCTTCAGCCTGAGGCGTATTCATTTCACTTCTGTTGTGAAAAGGGCTTTTACATTTGTAAAATAAGAACTTTTTTATATTAAAAACAAACAAGCAAGCCCTGCCCAGATTTAAAAAGTAACTCAAAAGTAACGTAACGCATTACTTTCCATAAAAAGTAACTAGGTAACATAATTAGTTACTTTTTTAGGGAGTAATGCAACATTGTAATGCATTACTTTTAAAAGTAACTTTCCCCAACACTGGTGACGCTACAAACCCAACATAACTATACATTACAGTAGTGTGACTGTAGATCAGCTGGTTTCAAAACAGAACAGCTGTTTCACTAACAAGCTCATTTGTCTAATGTAAATAACTCGCTGTATTGAGACAATCATTAAACTCAGTCTGATGAGCAGCAAACAGTGATAAAAAATATCTCTCTCTTTTAAAAAAACACTGGCTTCATGCATCGCAGTGAATTGGTTCATTCAGATGATTTGTTTAAAAATAAATCAAATAAAATAAGTACTACAATTACTAAAATTGAAATCAAAATAAATTAAAGCGGAAATAAACAGAAAAAAATTATAAAAATAACAAAAGCACATAACAAGATTACTAAAACTTAAAATAAAATAAAAAAATAAGTGCTACAATTACTAAAACTGAATTAAAAATAAATTAAAGCAGAAATAAACAGAAAAAAAATATAAAAATAACAAAAGCACATAACAAGATTACTAAATCTTAAACTAAATTTAAAATGAAAACTAAAAAATATAAAAAATAAAAGCAAATTTAAAATATGAATAAATACTATAACAGTATATAAATATACTAAAACAGCACTGACTGAGACCCTTAATGTGTTATATACACACTCACACACTATTATAAAATACTAAAAGAATATGTTATTATTTTATCTCAATTGAATTTTGTATAAAAATAAATTAAATTACTGGACACTGGAAAAATGTATACAGTTAAACAGGTTAAAATATGTATGTAAATTTAGTAAATATAAATGTTTTAATCTGATTATATTATATTTTAGTACTTAAATGTATAATTACACTGTAACAAGGACACCTTAAAATAAAGTGTAACCCAAAAAATGTATTCAATGAAAAAAAAAA